GTGTTTGCAATATCTGCACAAAGGAGACGTCGATCAGCTGCTCAAAGATCTTGTCTTTGGAGAAGACTGTTTATTTTACACTCAAAAAATGTAAGTATTACTACTTAGAAATTAAGATTACCTCAGAAAGCATTGCTAGCCCACCCCAACACTTTTGAACAATAATAATTATAAATGCTGACCAATAATTATTTTTTTTAGTAAAACAAACAAAATGTAATTTGTTTTGTCATATGCTATAGCTATGCATGACTTCACACAAGACAAATGCAGCCAAGGTGAATACATCTCAATTTTCAGTAAAGTAATGAATTAATGCATATGTCAATGATCTGACAATCATGTATTTACAGGCGGTGAATCCACATCTACTGCCATCTCAACACAGCTGTGCCAATTCTGCAGCTTTATTCTGATGAACCGTGCCCACCTTCACCTGTCTCTGCCATCCATCACGACCTTCATTGCTGCAGTCAGACTGGAATCTGATCATGGATGGGAAAGGGACATCGAGGCTATCATTGCCTGAGTGCACAGAGAGGATGAGGAAGACCATGATGACGCCCCTAAGCAACACAATCTTGAACAAGAGCAGGAGAACATGTGTGGGACAAACTGACTGCTGCTGTGTCTGCTCCAAACATTTGTGTACTGCTCTCCATGAGCACCACTACCTGTAAAACATTTACACAGAGTAAAACATTTTACATCTCATGCTGTCAGCATTTCATTTCTTGTCAAATTTAATTTCATATGTTTACAACTGCATGCTAATTTTTGATATAGCTTCATTACTTTTGTGGTGTAGTGAACTGGTCAGCAGAAGGTTGCTGGATCGATCTCCGCAGTCGTCACCACCGCTGTCTTTACTCCAGGTTGCTGCTGGGGGATTGGGGTCCCTGTGATTAGAACACTAAGTCATTTCGAATAAAAGTCTCTGCCAAATGAATAGACGTAAATGTGATTTTTGTAAATGCTTTTTTGTGTCTTGGGCACAAACGCTCAATAAAGCTGCTCATTTCTTAAAGTAATATAAATGCTTACATATGTTTCATACAATTTCTATTTGGGGCTTTAAAGGGTTAGTTCATCGAAACATAAATTCAGCCATTATTTACTCGCCTCCACACTGTTCAATCCTTGTGTGTGTTTTTGTTTTTTCTGAACACAAATGGTGAGTTTGGTCAAGTTTGTCCTGCTGGTTTGTGTTCATACAATATCAGTCAATAGAGCCTGACTTTCAGATTCTTCATGATATTATTTGATGATTCTTTTGAAGCTTCTGAAACTCGGGTTTCATTGACTGATGTTGTTTGAACAGAAACCAGCAGAACAAACTTGACCAAAATCACATCCTCATAGTCTTTTGGTCTTCCTCTAGATGCTCTCGCTGGCTCTGGGCTCACTGAGGATGAAGAGACCACAGCAACATCCGGTCCTGATGAGGCAGGAGGTGGGGTGATGGGGCTCCTCATTCATAGCACTGGACCATTTCTAGGATGCTGAAAATGATGCATCTTCACAGCTCACACCAGTCTGCAGACATTTCAGATCCTGCAAAGATGCACAAACACAATACAAAAGCAGTAATTTTAACAGCACAATGTTATTTGACTTCTGTATTAGAAGAAACAAAATGATCTTACTTTATATTTTTGTTTCAGGTTTTCCCTTTTTTCCACAAATGCTGCTATCACCTGCTCCACCACAAAAGCTCTGTATCAAATGCACATATATCAAGAATCAGAAAAGTGCTGTAATAACTCTGTTTAAAATTACAATAATTAAAATAAACTACAACTTAAGATTTAAAAGATGTTTTATTCATTACTATAGTGTACTCACTCAAAGCATTCAGCATTGCTTCATCAGTCACTCTGCACCGGATAAACACACGTGTGTCTCATCTGTCCCTGTAACATCCAGACAAGAGTCAAGTCACCTCTGTGATTTATCTGCTCAATACTGCATTTACATGTTGAGGAAGTTGCTAATGTGTTAACTCACTTTTTACCCAACACAAATGTTCCTCAATTTATCAGTAGTACTAATGGACAAATGATATAGATAACTTATGTTTAGTTATTCTTACATTCATCTAAAGCAGTGTTGACAACAGTGAATTCTACATAATAGTGCACATACAGCACTCAGTATGCTGTTTTAAAAAAAAAAACTCAGTCTGTTTCATGTTGCCATGTGCTCATCTGCAATTCTTTTAGAACATTTTCCGGTCTCATATTAAATAGACATCTAATCATCTTTAAGATGTATAGGTTTATGTAAATTCACTTTGGTGAAGTACGTGTGCTTACTGGAGCTCAGCTATACATAATAAATCGTGTTTTTACAGAACAAATATACTGTAACGTTACTGTCTAACATCTTACACCTTAAGCAAATCAACAGTAGCTCAACAATATAAAAGCTGTTCACATACTCTTTTTCCCTACTAAATAGTAGGTAAGTAGGTATATTAGAACGCAAATTAAGTATACGTACGTCCGAGTCTCGCGAGAATTAGTGCAATTCTCGCCTACTCTTTTATGAATACAGAGGATTCAAACATACTTATTTGCTTGCCTACTGCTTTTTGCCTACTATATAGTAGGGAAGTATGCCATTTCGGACACAGCCATTTTGAATGAATCAGCCGTTTGAACGAATCGATTGAATGAATGATTCAGTGACAAAGAATCATGCCGCCACCTACTGGCTTTTTTTTTAAGTTTAAGCATTAAAACATTTAAAGTGCCCCTATTATGCCATTTTTAAGGTTGCTAATATTGTTTTATGAGTCTCCTAAAACAGGTTTACATGCATGCAAGGTCAAAAAACACTTTAGTTTTACCTAATTTCTAAATGATTCGTAAACGACTCGTGCGAAGCAGTTCAAAGAATCAGTCTCTCTAAACCCCTCCTTTCCGTCAGCCCTCACTGCTGTGATTGGTCAGATGGTGCAGTTCTTTGTGATTGGTCCAGAGCCGTAGAGAGCTTGGCTCTGGATTGGTCTATGCGTACAGCGCGTGTAGGAAACGAAACGCCCATTGCCATGACGGAATGACAGCCCTGGAGACTTGTCAA